TATACATGCATATATATATATATATATATATATATATATATATATATATATATATATATATGGAATATATATATATTATATATATTTATTTATTTAAAAATTTTCTGAACAAATTTACAGCAAGGACTCGTAACTTTTCAGTGCACATTAAAGTTTTGTAGACAATTTAGAACTCGATCTGAGCATTAAATATTTTACCTGCTCAGTACCCACAATGTTTGTATAAGTTTCAAGCTAAAATATATTTACAAGAATTCAGTTGTAGCTTTCTCAATAGGTTAAGTTTTATGATAACCTATGCCCCCACTTCACATTCATATAGGAGTATTGGTTTGATAATTTTTTCAAACATATCTAATCTAAAATCAATTTCTAAATTATATTTACAACATCTACCAAAAAAATAATTTTGACAAGTTACCAATATGTTAGTTATACTACGCATGCAGAAAATGTTGGTTATGATGCATGCCAATTTTCAACTTTATAACTTTAGTGAAACAGAAGATATTCTGGGACAGCCGTCGTATAATACTCGTACCTCTGCGAAAACCTGCATGTTTTTTTCTAAAATAATATTGTATATTATCAGCATATTTATATAGTCTTTCATGGATAATAGCGGTAAATAATTTTTCACGACAGCCCCAGAAAAACACGAACATTTACGATATTTTCTGTTCATACTTTTTATGTAAAATGGTTTCCCTGATATTCACAATTCAAACATATTAATAAAGTAACAATTATTTTGAAACTTCAGCATCAGATTTATTAATTCGAACCAGTTTTTATGTAATTGTTAAAGTACTGTTTACTATAAATGTACCATTTTTTATGGTGATATATACCTCTGTTTATTTACGTCTTACATGTACATCTTAAAAAAATTCGCAACCTATACATTTTTGGGGATTATTAAGGTATGTCACTCGTCAGCTTTTGAGCTTTTCAGGCAGAACCACTAACTTCAAAACCATTGAAAACAATTCAATTTTTATAACGTATTTGAATTAAATAATGCAAATTATACGACATACAATCTAAAAACTGCTCATAAAATCATATAGAAACAAGATTTATGGGATATTTCGAAGAAAATTCTTTAAAAATCTACACATTTGTTATATTTAATATCCTGGAACTTTAGCCCTGTATGTTTTTACTCAGACTTTTTCCGTTATTATATGCTAGGAATATTAAATATAGGTTTCAATTAATATTTTTAGAACATATTTTACACATTCACTCAACAGACTTTGTCAGGAAATGAAGTTATATTGAAGAAATCAAGATAAGATTTACAGGGTTTTTTTGCCTGAAAATCGCATATTTTGACCAATATCTCAAATTTTACATACAGGCCCAAAATTTTTCTTTCTTTATTTTAAACTTCACGATATTTCCAACTGATCAGCGCTAAAGCCATAAAAAGTTTGATACAACGAAATATTTTCATGCTTATTTAGATTTTTTATACCCCAAATATGATACATTTTAGTAAGTCACACAATAATTTATGCACATTAATTTGCATCACTTGTTCAGTGATAAATATTATTCAAATTATTTAATGTAAAATAAGATTAAATTTATTGCCATGATTACATCTGATGGAATATGATAAAGGTTAAAGTGATTAACCCAAGAATTACAATTTAAGCGCAAAAAGGTCAAGTTAATTGTACCGTTGCTCAGTAAGATGCACACTGACCCCAAATTTTCTTTGCGATTTTGACTCATGCTGTATGAATACTTATCTTAAATATACTTCTCAAAAAATCCTTGATTTAACTCATGTAAAGAGTGACATACCTTAATTAATCAAGAATATATTTATTGAAAATAAATGCAGTTTTTAGCTCTTCTGAGTCAAAGGCTCAAAGAGCTAATACTATGGCCATTTGTGTGGTGTGCGTAAACCTTTTAGAATATGGGCCATAACTCAAGAAACCCTTGGCCAATTATTGTCAAATTTGTTACAGGGTATCCTTGGCCCAAGGGCTCCTGTTTATACTGAAACTAGGGTTGTGACCCTTAAAAAAAGGGGAGATAATTAGATAAAAAAACAACAACAACAACAAAAGTACTGGTTGCTAAAAAATCTTCTCAAGAACCACTGGGCAGATTATCACCAAACTTACATAAAAGGTTGAGAATATGTTGTAGATTAAAATTTGCACGGGGATTTACCCTGGGGCAAAGGGCGTGGTCTCAAGATCACTCCAAAAATTACATTATATTAAAATGTTGATATTTTGCTTACTATAAGGACTAGGATCATCATATCTTGTCAGTTGATGCATCTATGTACCTCATATCATGTTGATTCAAAAGTAGGTAACGGTGACTTACTATTTCAATTCTGCGGCCATTCATTTTCAAAATGATTTAGAGGCATATTTTGAACAATTTAAGACCTATGATCATCAAACTTTGTCAGTTGATGTATCTTGGGTCCTCGGAGTACGCCGACTAAAAAGTAGGTCACCTTGACCTACTTTTTGAATGTTATGGCTAATCTTTTTCAAAACAATTAAGGTCATTAATTCAAATACTGAGAGGTTTAGAATCATTAAATCTTGTGAGATGATGCATCTTGGGGCCATAAAACATATTTATTAAAAAGTAGGTTACAGTGACCTACTTTTTGAACTTCGCAGGCATTCGATTTCAAAGCGTTTTAGAGGCATATTTTGGACAATTTAAGGCCTATAATAATAAAACTTTGTAAGTTGATGCATCTTGGGTCTTCGAAAAACGTCAATTGAAAAGTAGGTCACCGTGACCTACTTTTCAATTTATATGACTATAATTAAATATTTGGGATACTCATTGACTTAGAATCATTAAACGTTGTCAGTTGATGCATCTTCGGTCTTCAGAGTAGGTCGACTGAAAAGTAGGTCACTGTGACCTACTTTTCAATTTATATGACTATAATTAAATATTTCGGGTACTAATTGGCTTAGAATCATCAAACTTTTTAAGTTGATGCATCTTGGGTCTTCGGAGTAAGTCGACTGAAAAGTAAGTCACCTTGACCTACTTTTTTTCAATTTCTATGACCATAATTAAATATTTCGGGTACTAATTGGCTTAGAATCATCAAACTTTGTCAGTTGATGCATCTTGGGTCCTTGGAGTACGACAACTGAAAAGTAGGTCACCATGACTTACTTTTGAAATTTTATGACTGTATTTAATCTTTTCAGGTATTATTTGACTTAGAATCATCAAACTTTACTTTGTCAGTTGATGCATCTAGGGTCCTTGGAGTAGGTCGACTGAAAAGTAGGTCACCGTGACCTACTTTTCAATTTATATAACTATAATGAAATATTTCGGGTACTAATTGGCTTAGAATCATCAAAATTTGTCAGTTGATGCATCTTGGGTCCTCGGAGTAGGTCGACTGAAAAGTAGATCACCGTGACCTACTTTTCAATTGATATGACTATAATTAAATATTTCAGGTACTAATTGGCTTAGAATCATCAAACTTTTTTAGTTGATGCATCTTGGGTTTTCGGAGTAGGTCGACTGAAAAGGTCACCATGACCTACTTTTGAAAATTTATGGCTTTAATTAAATGTTTCTGTTACTAATTGGCTTAGAATCAACAAACCTTGTCAGTTGATGCATCTTGGGTCCGCAGTTAGTCTACTGTCAAGGAGGTCACTGTAACCTATTTTTGAAATTTTATGGCTTTATTTAAATATATCAGGTACTTATTGGCTTAGAATCATCAAACTTTTTCAGTTGATGCATCTTGGGTCCTCAAAGTATGTCATCTGAAAAGTAGGTCACCGTGACCTACTTTTGAAATTTTATGGATATAATTTTAAAAATATTTTAGGTATTAATTGGCTTAGAATCATCAAACTTGGGTCCTCAGAGAATGACAAGTGATAAGTAGGTCACCATGACCTTCTCTCAGGTACTAATTGGCTTAGAATCATCTTGGGTTCTCAGAGTGTTTCATTTAAAATGTAGGTCATGATGACCTACCTTTGGAATTTCAAGGCTTTATCTAAATATACAGAATACTTAGAGGCTTCAAATAGAGGTGATAAGTTGTACAGTTTATCAGAAGGGCGATCCAAGGCCCTTGGGCCTCTTGTTCTATTTAGAACCCATAAATTTGTAAGGATGGAAATAGCTGCAGATCTGTAGTTCGCTGGTCTGAAAAAATTGGGATGGACGACCAGAGAGCTACAGTGCTTACCATTAAAAAATGGTTATTTATTGCACAAAAAGTGCGCCGTTTTTCGGGTTATTTCACGTATATTTCCAAATATTACTAACCGTATGTTCTAACATTTTATTACTACTTTCACAAGAAAACTGCACGAAGCGCTTTAGACAGAATTGTCTTGCCACCCAAACTGGCAGTATAGATAGGCAAAATTTTCCATGTTCTCTATTTCAGGCCCTGGAGGGCTATAAACAACGGTTTGGGGAAATGCTTTGTTGTGGAAGTAGTAAAAGATTATGCTAGGAACACACGGTTAGTAAAATTTGAGATGGCAGCATAAATAAACGGAAAAATAATTCGAGAAACAGCAAACTTTTTTTTATACGCAATTCATATACATTTTTTTAATGGGTGGCACTGTAGCTCTCTGGTCGCCAATACCAATTTTTTCAGACCAGCGAACTACAGATCTGCATCTATAGAGTGGAAATACCTTAAGTAGCAGAATATATGAATATACATACATTCAATTAATCTAAATTGAGAATCCAGCCTAACTTGTCAATTATAATTATCGACTCAGAAACTATAGCAAATCTTGTATATAAAGCTGCGATTTTAAGTATATTACCAATTCATTCATTCATCAATTCAGGTAAGTTGAATGCTTCTAAACTTATATTGTAATACTTTATTTGCCTTGCTTCTTTTTGTTTTATATATAACAAAACTTGTTCTTGGGTTGTTTTCCTGAAGATGCCTGGAAATTACTTCAATAAGGAAAGTTTTTCTTCTTCTTCAGGTATTTAGGAAACATTACCATTCCATCACAGCGAAAATAATATGTCCCAAGACACCAACTCTACCGACTTCAAGGAATTTTACGTACAGGCTCGGTTTATCACAGGGCTCATCCTATACCCCATATTCTGTGTCTTGGGGCTGATCGGGAATGGCCTAGGAATAGCAGTTATGCTTCAAAAACAAATGAGGTCTTCAACAAACGTTTATCTTCTGGCCTTAGCGATATCTGACGGTATTAAAATCATTTGCGACGCACTGTATTTCTTTGTGGTGCTTTCTTTAGAATTAGATCCAAAATTTGGGAACAAATTGTACATATTTTTGTACCCATATGCACATTATGTTTTCAACGCGTCTCTTTGCATATCGGCATGGCTTACAGTGGCGGTAGCTGTAGAACGGTACGTGTACGTATGTCACGTCCACAGAGTTCGAACTTACTGTACCTTGTCTCGGGCCAGAACGATATCTTTCAGTGTGTTCATTGTAATGAGTTTAGCCTGCATTCCATACGCTTTGCGATACAAAACGGTCGAAAGCCAAAACAATTCCACCTCCTGGACCAGTTACGATTTGAGCCTGACCGATTTGTGGGTGGATCCAAAATTTTCATCTATTTTTACATGGACACAGTATTTTATTCGAATCATCATTCCACTCACATTGCTAATTGTCCTTAATATTTTCATCATGTACGGAATTCGTAAATGTCGTATTGGAAGAAAAAATCACAGAATTACAGTCATGCTAATCGTTGTCATCATTGTTTTTATCATATGCATTATTCCAGATGCCATCATGTCGACATTCCTGGGTTTTGGATATTATGAAGAGGATTTCTTAGCGCGAGCAATCCGAGAAATCACTGACTTGTTTCTACTTATAAACACAGCTATTAATTTTGTAATATATTGTGCATTCAACACAATTTTCTGGAGAAATTTCCAGTCTTTGTTCTGCTCTTGTTGCATCTCGAAAGGAACTTTGATGGAAAATTCTCACATGAGACAGTTGTCATTATGTGGTCGGGAACATTCCAAAAGGTCATTAAAGCGTGTCCACGTTGTCAAAGAAGAACGTCTCCTACCAGAGCCAGCTGAACTTTGATAGACATATCCGCCTTAAGTAATGTTTTGTTATGAAGAATATTTATTGTAAATAGAGCATATCAAACAAAACTTGCGTATTATTAGATTTGAATTCAACCGGTGAGGTAAAAGATTACAGGTTTCGTTATCACTTAGTTTGAACCATTTCTGCTTCATATTTTGTGTACCAACAAAGTGCAGTTATTTTCAAATATAAATTTATGTTGAAATATATGATTTCTGTTTTAATTCTATTAGCATCAGTCGTCCTTGGACGTCTGCTATGTCTAATGATCCAGAAAATATTATGGCAACGAATATCGTACTAAGTACGGGAGTTGTCCGGTAAAATCGTGGACAAGTAGTCCATCATGAAAAATAATCAAACTGCTTTCTAAAATTTTCCCTTCTCTCTAGTACATTTTTCATCAATATACACAACAAAATATGGGATTTTATGCTATGTGTGGTATCGGCTTTCGGCGCACAGATGACAATGTCAAAATCTCAGACGCAACTTCATGTTTCATCTTTGCATAAAAAGTTGAAAAGAGTCCCACTTTAATTCCGACAATTTTACTGACGCAATCACTTTAGTTCCTCTTCCTTGCTCCAGAAACAGTGTAGTGACCAATCTAACACACAAACATGGGTCCCTATGAAAACTTGTCAGATAAGTTATGGAAGGTACTCTCACTTTCACTGCCTGCTTCAGGCAGTCTTTTTTTTTGACGGTCTGCAATGATAGCTTCTTTTGTCATTGCCAATTATAGCTGATTTTCTGTATGCTTGATCTATCGGGGGACTCGATCAAAAAGCTCCCGTTGAAAAAAATGCACAATCCACTTGTGTTCTAATGTATAAGTGATATTTTTTTTATATATTTTTTTTATATTCGGTTATCATTTATAGTCTCTTAAAGGCAGAGATTTTAAGCACCGCCTTCAAAAATACCTGGTCTGTGTACCCTTGTCAATCAAGTGCATTAAGGTACATCATTGAGTGCTAGAACTTGATTGACATTGACTTACTAGTCCCTGTGTATACCCTGTACACATTGTTTGGCACTCATGGTGACTTTTGATCCTTTGATATTTACCACACATGGTATAAACAATAGAGAAGCTGTATTACTATGGAATTTTTAGCATGATAATATATTTACATATACACACACCTTTAGTATTTGAAATAATTATGATATTCATTATGATAATATATATCAAAATTAGGTATAACTTTTTTTCAAAGCTCAACAAATACTTTAAATAATAATATTTTTTTAATGGGTGGGGATGCTTTGACACACATTCAATTACAAATTAATAAAAATTACTGCATGAGATTAAACTTTATTTACAACCTTTATATTTCTAATTTAAAATCATCTAAAAATCCCAACACAGGTAAAGTTTGACTTCTTGGGTATTCTACTGTGTATTAAATCACTTCCTGTGTATAGGGATTGGGAGACAAACGACCACAGGTAGACTGCTAGCCCTCAAGGCATTCACATCTGTACAAAATAAGCCCCTCCCTCACCTGGAATTTACCACCCGGTAAAAAATCTCTGCCTTTAAAGCGTCATTACTCAATCAACATAAACTGAACTGCTCTTCTGTGCGCCATAACGTCATCAAACATTGCCATTTTTCGGGTGCTGCTTTTATATACCACTCACCAATTCCCAAGGTTGGAAAACTGCGAAAAAGTAAGCAAATTCCTTGTAATTTCTCAAATGACGACTTCGACATAATAGATAGGGAATTAACAATTTAATTTTTACCCCAACTTGATCTATTGGAATTCGTAAATGTCGTATTGGAAGAAAAAATCACAGAATTACAGTCATGCTAATCGTTGTCATCATTGTTTTTATCATATGCATTATTCCAGATGCCATCATGTCGACATTCCTGGGTTTTGGATATTATGAAGAGGATTTCTTAGCGCGAGCAATCCGAGAAATCACTGACTTGTTTCTACTTATAAACACAGCTATTAATTTTGTAATATATTGTGCATTCAACACAATTTTCTGGAGAAATTTCCAGTCTTTGTTCTGCTCTTGTTGCATCTCGAAAGGAACTTTGATGGAAAATTCTCACATGAGACAATTGTCATTATGTGGTCGGGAACATTCCAAAAGGTCATTAAAGCGTGTCCACGTTGTCGAAGAAGAACGTCTCCTACCAGAGCCAGCTGAACTTTGATATTGAATACTTTCATTTCGAAATAATAATCGAATATTATCTGATAAAACACTGATTTTTTGGTCTTGCGCCGTAGGGACATACCCTTGCAAAATCAAGTAAATGTATAATAAAATCCTTATTATTAAGGATGACATTTACTCAGAGGACAAAAAATCCATTGATGAAAATGAAAACCTCCTATAATACATTGTAGACCTATGATTGCAGTGTTGATACTCACTTTCAAGTAACTAGGCCAATAACTTATTTTTTATTCTAATGGCCCCTAAGTAAATTTATGAGGGAATACCTCAATTTGTAACACTGTGTTCAATATTTTCTTTATCACTAAAATCTAGTAATTAAGAAAACAGATAATGGAATAAAATGGAAAGAACTACGCATGCCAACTCTCCATTCCCGCCTACATTTTACACCCATTTAATTCAATACTAATGGCAATTTGGCCGTAAAATCTTTGTTGACTGCAAAGAACAGTTCAATAGTGATTAACTGATAATTAAATTTCAGTGTTCCAGCTCTTTAAATAAATGGGGTAGACGATATTTTTCATTGAAATCGGTCTTTAAAGCATCGCCACATTTTAAAATATTCTTGGATATGAATAAATGTTACTTAAATCTTTTCTTATTTTTTACTCATATAAAATTAAACATATATTATTAATAAAATAAAATGTTTTAGTTGTAAACCCCTTTGAAATTGGTGAAAAAATAAGCATTGTTGTAGTTTTTTGTCTGTAAACATATGCCCCCCCCCCCCCCCCGTGAAACACAAAAAGCTTTGGTATGAATTTATGAAATAACAGTCCATATTAACTGTAAAAAGGAATTTTTGTTTCACGGGGGGAAAGATGTTGTTTGAAAATATTTTCCGTTTTCCATTGATTTCTATAGTGAAAAACACAAGTTTTACCAAAATTATAGAGTTATCTCTCTCTAAAGAAGATGGGTGAACAAGGCGGGCTAAGTGCCTATACTTAAACAAAATTTTTCGATATGAGTGGGTCTTCGCTCCATTTTTTTTTTGAAAGTTAATCCTAAAAGTTTGCATAAAATTATACATTTTTTGGTTTACAAAAACATGGAGCAAAGACCCACTTTACCTTAAAGTACACTTTTATGACAAAGCATTCGCATCTTTCCGAGAAATACTTGAAGTCCATTAAGTCAAGGGCCATATTACAAACATGATTTAAATGTCACTGTTCATCAGGAATGTGTAGCGTAGTGGTTAGCGTGTTAGTCTCAAAGCAACATGATACTCCGGATTTTTATTGTTAAGGGTTCGAACCCCACGAATACCAATTTATTTTTTTAATAAAAGAATATTTTTTTCCGAGATCTTTTTTCTCAGAAACGTTTTGTATATCATAATTTCATAAATTTCAATATTGAGAACTTTACTTTTAATACTTAATTTATAAATTGAATGTGATTTTTAAAATATCTTAAGCTACATGTATAGGCATTCTGCACGCCTTGTTCACCCATGTTCTTTATTATTCAATTTGTAATCAATTCAAACATTCTAAACATTTTATTTGGTCTACTTGAATTAATTGAATGCCTTATTTGCATGCATTTTGCCATTTAAGTAAGCAACAGTGATTTCAGTTCACCAACAATGCATTGTCTTTGAATATTTTTTCTGGGGATAAATGGCAGGTACCCTATGTTGAAAATTAAATAGATAAACTCCATATTTATATCTTTATATAATTTTCTCAGAGCCTAAAAAACATTTTCATTGGTGTATAGAGGGTCCTTAAATTGAGAATAATTAAAATCTGCGCAGAACAATGAGTACGTACACAGTCCTACTCATTTATCGGTTATTGTGAATATCTTTTGTGTATATAGATTCTTTCCCGTGAATACGTTAAACTTTGAACAGATTTGTTTGTTTTCATTTATATTACAAAATGGCACAAATGTTAAAACCCGTTTACATAAAAGACAGTGATCTACCCAAAGAGGATAACGAGCGGGTAACTAATTTTGATCATCTGGATGCCGTCAGTCACAGTGTATGAGCAGACACGATAAAATGCATTCTGCTTGACAGAAATTTGTGGAGAATCTAATTTGATGACAAGAAAAACAGGGATTCTGTTTTACCTGATGGATTTGATTTCAAAAACCTTCATATTGATGTGTATGGCACAAACCCATACTCCGCTGGTATTGAGAACCCCAGTGATGAGGCCCTAAAAGTTACCATTTGCGGCGTTCCATTGTCAGTGGAAGACAGTGCAATACTAGAAATGTTGACAAAATTAGGTGCACGTCCAAAAAGTGTATTGAAGTACGAGAAAATCAAAAACCCCTCCAATAATAAAATGACAAATGTTTTAAATGGCAATCGCTTCATCTATGTGGAGCCACTTATGTGCAAACCACTCCCACGATTTAGCTACTGTGCTGGGCTAAAATTTAAAATTCTACATCATGGGCAAGAATCCGAGAAACCCCCACTAGCCTGTACAAAGTGCTTGTGAATATACAAGGAGGAAAAATGTTCTATCAAATTTCTATCCCTGTGATCTAAAAGTGTTTGGTGAAAATTTCAAATCCGCAGAGTAGGCATTATATCAACTCACCAAAGCCGTCCGCACCGGAAACCTTGCTGCTGAAAGGATTCGTGATGCCAAGTCAGCTCTACAATGCAAATTAATCGGCAATACCGTTACCAGTACTCCGCAATGGAAAGACGATGCTGACGAAGTCATGGAGCAAATCTTGTGCGCAAAGATCGACCAACTCAAAGATATGAAAGATCTGCTTACATGTACATCCTCCAGACCGGATACAGTGTTTTCCCATTCTGTTTACGATCTATACTGGGGTACCGGTTTGGATTCCTTGAAAACAGCTCACACTGATCCAGATGCTTGGCCCGGGCAGAACAAGTTCGGTAAGATAATTCAGCGTCTTGCGGACAAGTTACGAAAAACGAAACCACGTTCTGTTTCCCT